CCAAGATAACTTAACCGATATGAAATCGATAGTTTCAACTAATTTAAAAATATAAACACATAATCTTTTCAAAGTTATTAAGTTATGAACTAAGTATTGCATTTCGATGTGCAGAAACACCAAGATATAAAGAGCAAACTTTAAACTAAAAAATATGAATCGAGTTTTGCTAAAAATTTTTTATTTTTTTTATTTTTTTAAAGTTTTCTAATACACAAATAGTTGTAAGTACCAAATACTTGAAAAAATTTTAGATAAATTTCAGTCATTAGTTTTCGTACACAACAATTCTTTTACTTGTAAAGAAGACGGTGCCAAGAATCTTGAAAATAATACCGGATGCACATATAAAAACCTAGTGAGTGTAAGAAATTGAAGCTTCCTTTTGTACTTTATTTCAGGCTTCCAAGTATTACATTACTTTGCTTTGAAAAATGTGGAAATTTTTCCGTGCAAGTATATAAATTCTCATCCGTGAATCCGGGACATGAGTTTCACAATACAAATGTTGAGAGAATATTGTGCAGAAAACAAATAGTACAAATAAATTGTAAAGTACAAAACGACAACAGCAAAAGTCGAGGGTTTCAATAAAAGTTGTACGTAAAAACGTGATAAAGTTTCACAGTACCTAGTGATATCTAGATAATAAATAAATGCATTTTAAATTGGAAGAAAATATGGTTCAGCTGCGATAATATCAAAGACTACGATAAACCTTTCTTACCGAAAGATTAATATTGATGATTGGATGTATTTTACTATTTTTTTTTCTCTTGTAAAAATACAAAAGAAAACAATTATCGATGAGTAACAATTAGTTTTAAGAGTTTTTGCACAAAAATTAATGTAATAGGCTTTGTATTCATAATTTATATGACAATTTTTAAATAAGAGTTATGCAAAGTTAAAGAAATTTTACTTAAAAATCACGACAGTACCTTGTATTAAATAATAAAAATTTTATGAAAATAATGACAAGTGGATTATACAATTATACATTACTACCGTTAAATAAAAGTGTGCAAGGATCATTTTAAAACTTGTTCCAATTTTCGGTTTATCTGTACCTATCGTAAATAATTACACCGTGTGTACATATGACGCCGTTGGGCCAAGAAAGGTATTACAGCTATTACGAAGACCACCTGCAGGCTAATCTGCATTAATTAAAGCACGTCTAACAGGATTAGCTCTAACACCTATGATCACACTTGACCCATTCCAGACTTGGATCCCCCAAACTCTCTGGTGACATGTTAACTACGTAGTACATATTTTTAAAACGTTTATCATTATTATTATTAATATCATTATTATTATTATTATTATTATTATTATTATTATTATTATTATTAACTGTTTTCCGTTGAGCCATCCGATTACTTTGTTGAATTTTAAATATCAGTATTTTTAAGAATATAAATTCCTTATCGTATTGTTCTACTGCTTAAAAAGTATAAATATTTATCAATGCTAATCTATCCTGTAAATGTGTTACTTTAAGCAACAGTTTATTAATTATTTTTTCTTGTAATAATTGTATAATATTTTGTATGAATAAAACACACTTGCTCCTCGTATAGTCTTAATGAGAGTTAATGTTTAACTAGAATGTTTGTACTCTTATATTATCATTTTTAAATTCGTAGCAAAAATATTGCCTCAAATTGACAGTAGATATTCTGAATGTACCTATTCCTTATCTCAACTTCACAAACTTACGAGCACTTCATCGATTTGGTGCTAGACAGTTGAACTATATTTCCCGTTTTGCATCCGCTGCAACTGGCAGCCGCATAATTTTACCATCCATGGATGTATATTGCACGGCTCTATTACCATTCGCAAGAATACATATTTTTTTATGTGCAATATTATTGGTTTATCAGAACTACGAGAAATTTTAAGGACACACAGTTGAAATTTTCAAAGCTCCGTATACTTAATTATGAAAATTATTTTCAGTTAATACCATGAAAAAGCTCTATTTGTGTAGGTCTTACATACTTTGTACACATAAAAAAAAAAAAAAAATCAATCATTATGCCCTGCTACAATAAAACTACCCTTTTTCCTTACAGGATGGTCAAGATAACTGAAAACAGCAACTCGGTGGAGTTGTGTACAAGTATGTGTAAATTTTAGATGAATTTTTTAGTTTAGGAAATAAAAAAAAAAAGAAATTCTTTGAGAGTGATCCAGCTATTCCATAATTATTTACCTCAATTTTTAATAAACAAAATACGTATTCCTGACTAGAATATCCGCAGAAAAATGTTTTTTATTTTTTACTTTAAAACTAAGACAGAGGTAAATTATAATAAGTATGAAAATCTAGAGGTTATCAAATCTATGATATTAGTCTTGTAAAAAAATGTTTTCATTTTGATTTTTACAAATATAATAGTACTATTAAAAATTAAATGTGTTAATGTCACACTATTTCGACATTTTTTCACTGTGGTGCTTCTTTCTCACCTTTTTCATTATCATTTTCTGTATAAATATCTACTACTTCCTTAAGCTCTTCTACTGTTCTTTTGAAGTCTTCAGCATTAACAATATCTTTACTATTTCGTTCATAAATTTTCAAAGCTCGATCCAGCAATACTTCAAATTCTTTAGCTACCTGTGATAAAACATTTTATTTAAACATTTATATTTTATAATTTAGTAATGATGAGTAAGATATTAATTTTTACCTTCTCTGCCTTACGTTCGATAATTTTTTGAGATTTTTTATCAATGCTAAGCTGTGAAATATAAGTAATCAAGTATTTAGCTTATTACTTTTACTCCTGACACATCATTTTTAAAAGTGTGAAATACCTCTACTTTGTGATTGTATACTGTTACTGTAACGTTCTCGAGAACATTCAGAGCATGTAACAATTCCTTAGAATTCATGCGTTCTCCAATTTTGACAAATATTGTTTTTTGAGTAGATGTTACAGCATCATCCATCTGGAGTAATTTTTTTTTTAACTAAAATCTTAAGCTATTTTAATAAATAAATAACTAATTTACCTTAGAAAGAAGTAACTTGATGCCATATTTTAATGGATTCTCTTTTTGGGGCGTTACATTTAGGCCCTAAAAAATAAGTATTGATATAAATTATAAATCCTAACATTATTTTATTCATACTAAGCTGCAAGTTAAAATTTAGTAACTAATGAATACTTAAATTTCCAGGTACACCAGCATTGTCAATATGTGCTATGGGAGAAGCCTGTAAGTATTTTTCATTTTTTTATGTTTGATTTTAAAATATGTAGAATTTTTTGTATTAACTATCATATAAAATTTAATTAAGCTATAAAATTCTAAACATTACCAACATAATTTCATTATTTTTGATTGATTCATACTGAAAGAATTCGACAATTCGCAAGGGATCGGACTTTTATACAAAGACTGTGTTGTTTGGATTATTTAGGGTTGATTATTTTAGTTGTAATTATCAGAAAAATTTAATTTAATTAAACTTAAACCTGTCTTAACTTGAATTCCCTAATTATTCGTTACAATTTATGTGTAGCAGAAAAAGTCGAATAAAATATGTACACTACCATGTAATATCAATAATGAATGACTAAGACTTACGAAAACAACTACAGATCCGAAAAATATCACGATCAAACTTTTTGACACCATTTTGAGGCTTGGAATGTTATCGATTATTTGAAAAAAAATTTTAAGTTACTCAAAAACATACCGACATTTATTGGAGGCAAAATGTTTATCTCAACGGCATTAGCATAACCAAATATTGGCTTCAATTTTTTGTGCGATAAGATGAAATTTTTTACATGGTTCGGTTGTTACACGTTTACATAAGTAAATTTTTAACTTCATTAAACATAGGATCTTCAATGATTGTAAACAATATTAAGAATTATAATTTTAACGTATTAGCTCTATTCTAGAAAATATTTAAATGAATATTCTGGGTTTCAGTACCCAACACAATGCTTACTTTTATGTTACAAGCTAAAAGTGTATCATATTTTTGACGTAACTCAATACAGAATATGACATGAATATGCTCCTTAAAATCCCTCGATTTGAAGAGGATTCTAAAGTGTAATGATTAATTTTATTATTGAAAAATGAGTTATTTGCACTGAAGTAGGTACATGTAACTGATGTTGATGAGAATAGTTTGTCAAGGCTTTCTTAAATTACGGTCAAATAATATTACTTAATTATTGAAACATTTGGAAAAATGTTTTGTTGACGTACAAATCGAAGGTCATACGGAGCTGTTTCAATAAAAAGTAATCGTAAATACATAATATTTTTAATTTTTATAACTTTATGTTGATTTTTCGTTAATATTGATAAGTTTTATAAAAATATTTTTTCGTGTTATATTTAAAAATTCATGGGACAATCCGATATAAAATTATTTTTTCTGGTGAGTTTTCATTTGATTAACAAAATTTCATTTTCATTGAAGATATATAGTCATGGTACCCTACATTTTACTTACGCTAGTTTGTTACTTTTGTGTCAATACAATTTGACATATCATTTTATCATCGTGACTGCAGTGTTTACCAATTATTTTGACATTATCAGCTGATTTGATTAATTTATTTTCATCTTAGTGTTGACGTTCAGCAATGTTTATTGAACCCAATGAAAATATTTTAGCAAATAAAATCTATTACACTAACCTTATGGGTCAAGCTATTTTTTCTCTATTACAATACTTAAATATATTTGTAAAAATGGGTAGAAATACAGTACAATTTATAAAACAAATCAAATAAGTTGACAGATACACTTATCTGTAATCGAGTATCCATCTACCTGACACAACACGAACTAATGAACAGAAGGTAACAATTTGACTGATAAGGTTGAATGCGTTCTTATCAGCGCGAGATAAGCAATGTTCCGTGATTCACCACTAGGGGTGTTCTCATATTTTTCCAGTTATACTTCGACTCACTATATAACCTACACCATTTTCACCAGAATGTACCAAAACATTGTACCTAGTTCATTATAGTCAGAAAGTCAGTTTGTTTGATTATTGCCCAATAGTGCTTTTAGTGTGTATAATATAAAAGTGATTTTTGTGTTGAAACAAGTTTGCATAAAAATGACAAAACGTAAATTAGAAGAGTACATCGAAGTGAAAGCTACTTTCAAGCATTCTTTGGATTCAGATGAGGAAGACGATGAAGCGAAAGAAGAAAGTTATGATGTTTTGAATGAGAACGACATCGAAGGTAGGTCTATAGACTATAATGTTTGCTTCTTTTTATTGGTCACTTGTTGTGTTTGAGTAGCTTCTGGAGTAAAGTTGAACCTAATATTGTCCATCTGTTGCTTGCAGGTGTTGAGGATGGACCGTCAGCTGCTGAAACCAACACTGGATTTACTGCTTTTAACATGAAAGAGGAATTGGAAGAGGGTCACTTTGACAAAGAGGGACATTACCACTGGAAAAAGGAAAAAGAAATACGTGATAATTGGCTGGATAACATTGACTGGGTCAAGGTGTGTCCTGATAAAGTACTTTGTAAGCGTCTTGACTTTGATCCTATTCATTAAAATAATTTAACATGAACTTTTCAGGTGAAATCACAAGAAGGTGGTAAAGATTCGAAAGACAAAGAATCGGACGAAAGTGATGGTGAAGATGGTTTTATGTTTGACCCAACAAATCTGTACAAACAAATTTTAGAATATCTCAAGCCTGGAGAAAGTGTATCAAAAGCTTTGGTACGATTAGGTATGGAAAATCTTATGTCACATGAATTTTTTCCTCAATTCACTTGATAATTTTTCAATATGATTTTTAACTTGTTCTTCATAATAATTAATTTATTGGGTTAAAGGAAAGGGAACGAAGAGATTAACCACAGCTGAAAAGTGGAAGAGAAAAAAGGATCCAAATGCAGTTACAGAAGATAGTGAGACTTCCGCTGCCATTACCAAACTAACAGAACTAGCAAACGAATTGCTAACTCAAACGGGAAACATGGATATTTATCAAGAGACCTATGAGCAGATACAGAAAAAAATTTCCCTAGCAGATAAGCACTCTGTGAAGGTTGAGGCAGAACTGGACATGTTTGCCGATGACTTTGATTCCAAAGAGAAAGATAAAAAATCAGACTGTAAGCAGGAAGGAGGTAAGACTTTAACATTTAGTACTGTTGATAAATGCTCGAAAATTGTAAGTTTTGGGAGTTGAGAATAAAAACACAAACAATTTTTACAGAATCAACGTCGCAAAACACAGAAAGTGAGAGTTGCAAAGACGAATTGTCAGATAACGAAGTGGTGTGGGAATTAAAGTGGTCGCAGGATGAAAGTGCTAAAGTCCATGGGCCCCACACGAGTCAACAGATGCACTCGTGGGCAAAAGAAGGCTACTTCAAAAACGGGGCGTGGGTGCGGAAGAAAGGGCAGTCTGGCGAATTCTACAACGCGACACGCATCGATTTCGAACTGTACTTATAATTTCTCACATCTTCCATGCACTGGGTTCAGGACCGAGCACAGGCTATTAATTGAAAAATGGTTCATCTGTTAATTGTAAATAATTTATTGAAAGCTCTTAATAAATTAGGTTTTCCATGGTTCCCATTAAATGGTATCTCTATGAATCGTAGTTTGACATGTTGAGGCCGTTGATATTCCTTTTTCTTTTTCTTCTGTGCTTGAAAGAATTTTCCACCAGAGTTTGACCCAATTTTGGGTACATCCTGTGAATGTCGAACATACTTCGGCCGCCGTCACCTAATTTCGACCAACGATTCGCCGGGCCCTCGTGACTCACATCCCACGGAATAGCCGTCTGGTATCCTGTAAAATACAAAACATAGATTGAAATCCAAAAACATATGTATCTACACCTAATATAATATATGCATGACAGCCAAAGGTGATCAGACAAGTCGTAAAATCAAGCGCGTACAATTAAATGTAATCCAAGTTACAAGCACATTATTTGTAATCTACGATAAATGTTTACGCACAACAACTTGTACAGTGAGAAGTAGGGGGGGGAAAAAAAAAAGTATATTTGACATTAGTAAACTGTTGGCTGTTCCCTTTGCCACCATCGATAAATATCTTTTTTACATTGCTATCGGATCAGATAAATTATATTATTTGTTTCGGTTAGCCAATCAACTATCGTCGATTAGAAAAAAAAGTCACTTTCAATTGTAATTTGTATCTCGCGTCTTGCAAGCTCACCATAGGGCCCGTAGAATGACTCGTGTGACTCAATGGGTTGGGGGTGCTGATGAAAGCCCGGCATCAATATCGGCGGCTGCGCCACCAGACCCTTGTAGAACAGGCCCGTGCCACCGAGCAGATACTTGACCGTGTACACGACCACGGCCACGAGGACGGCCACCACCAGGATTATCTTGATCTTGATGAGCACGACTGCGGCTATGCTCTTGAGGCCACCTATAACTGCGAAGCAACGAACATTGAATTATTTCAGACCCGTGGGCACCGAGCAAAGCTTTGACTTCTACTTATGGGCGATGCGTAAGGGAGAGAAAAGCGATTGGCCGTTCCACAACAGCTACTTTGACGAAGGAAGTAAAACGCGTCATTTCGATTTACATGGATTTGGTGCGCGTTAGGTGGTTGTATTATTCATGAAAGCGACCGAAAATTCTCATATCGCGAGCACACCCGTATACACCGTAATTGCATTCCGCAGGATTTCCGTAAAGGGGGAATCCCCGAGATTTCCTCGGAGCGTCCGTATGTATGCAAGGCACACGCGGGAGTGACCAGGGAAAACCATACCAGAGCTCGGTGCAAGCACGCGCCACGGATCTGGAATTCACGTATCACGGCGCAAATGCGCGTCCGCTCGTGCATTTTCGAGCTGATGCTATGGTTCCGGAGTCCGCGAACGTGTACATTTATAGTATGAGTTGTATCACCCGAGAGAGAGAGAGAGTCGAGTGTGGGTATCTGGCGCTGTCGCTACCGAGCGAGCTTTTAGCCGATGACGCGAGCCCGATATAATACATACAGTCGTGCGTTTAAAGCTCCGCGTGTGTGGGTATATGCAGCGACTCGTGCTCGAAAGATGAGAGGGTATTCTTGTACATCGTGTAGGTGGATGCAGTTGACAGGGAGAGTCGGATTAGGATTTTGCTTTGTACCTTTTCCGCGGTTTTTTCTTTTTTTGTTTTTTTTTTTTTTTCGATGAAATTTCGTAAAAGCCCTTCCGCGCGTTTGTAGGATTCGGGCGATCCGGAGAGCTTGAACTTTCGCGCCAAAATAGATTGTTTGTTTGTTGGAAGAGCGTTGTTTTTTTTCTCTCTCTCTCTCTCTCTCTCTTCGTTTCCGAGAGTGAATTCACTTGGATATAAAAGCGTTTTTATTTATTTTGAAAAATTGTACGTCTCGTTCGTTGCATACTTATATTAAAAGTGACTTTTTTCATTTAATTGTTTTTTTTTTTTTTTTTTTTTTCAACCACTCAAAATATCTGACTGTTCTCGTTTCCACTTAACTGTACCTCGCTTTTCAACACGGACACTCAACGAAATCTGAAAATCCCATGCACCTGACGCAGTAAAATTTTTCATTTACAAAAACCCATGGTATTCAACATTACCTCGCAATTACAATAATTGACAAAACGAATGAGCGAAAATAAATACCCGCATACCAAAGTTTTAATAACAATTTTCTCTCCCACGAGAAAGTTGTAACAATAGAATATAAAGTACAACCGAAAGCTGCGGAGTTGGTATTTTTTTACCCAACGAAAACAAATTAATGTCCCTACAACTTGCCCGTTGCACAAGTTTTTACGCTTAATTATCAATGTAATGCGTATATTAGCGACAGATGGCACGCCACACCACGGCCCAAAGGGCAAATTCGAGATACATAAAGGCCGAACGGGCCATATTCGTATAAATATTGTCTTAATAGCCGTCTCCGATTTATAGCTCATCAGGCCAGTTGGTACACAATGCACATTTTATATTCATATTCGCGCATCTGCTTCAATGGAACGAAAGGAGGAAACAATGGGCATCCCCCTCCCGAGAAACGCGGATCGAAAAAAGAACGTGCATGGGCCGTGTGTGCCATTTTAATTATTCGAATCAATTGAGAGTTGGAAAAGCTGTTTCGCTCGTCTCTTTGGCAGTCAATAAAATGAAAACGGGCGGCCTGCCGGAAAAATCAAGGGGACTCGAAAAAGTAATGAAAAAAATGGGGGCAGAAAAAAACAGATTTGGAAAGAAATAAAAGGAAGAGGAGGTCCAGTGGACACTGGACAAATGAACGAGGGAAAAATGTACAAAGATATAGCAGAAAGAGCGAGAGAGGAACGAAAGAGCAGCAGAGGAAATGCAAAGCAAGCCAGAGAGAGGTGGGCCGTATAGAACAGCGAAACAGAAAGAGGCGAGGAGGTTAAAAGCCATCGCGCGTTCGTGAAAGATAGAGAGTGGGGGGGGGGTGGCGGTGGATTATGTAGCGGGTGTGGGAGAAGGTTGACGCAAGGGGTGGGGCAGGGGGTGAAGAGTAGTATGCTAATGCAATTATGGAAATCGCGGTATGGAAAGCGCGGACGGGAGAGACAAGCGAGGAGAGAGAGAGAGAGTGCGTGCCTGCAGACAGCAACGATAGTGGGTGAGCGAGTCTATGCAGTGGCGGCTGTTTAAGTGTGTATATACACACATGTATGTGTGATGCGCGCTACGAGAGAATATATTCTCTCTTTCTCTCTTGACTTTCGGATAAAACAGCTGCGTGTAAGTCGGTGTGTCGCGATAATCGTGAATATGTAATTACGGGGAAGGACGTGCGGGTGGAGATAAACGGCGCTTTCCCTGCGTGGCTTGGCTCGCTGAAAAATGTATACATACGTAGCTTCATACACCCATCAGTCGTATAATGTAATTGTTTGCCCTCCTATTACGAACACCATCATTTTTTTTTATAATTATAGTATGGATAATTCTGGAGGTGTGCTATAGTTCTTACTGATGTGATGTACGACATAGGTGCTCTGTCGTATCGGTTATTGTTTTCGCGTAAAAGTATACTGTAATGGACGTCTGGACTTGTGGGAGTCGTAGTTTGTGCTTCACATGAATGTGCCAGTACACCGTGAGCTGTCAATGAAACGTTTTTTTTTTTTTTTTTTTTTAAGCGTCATTCGGAGCAAAAAGTGTGTTAAGAAAAAACAAAAAAAGCTCAGTCAGGGTTGAAAATTAGAACTCAGCGAGGGGTGCAAAGTTTGAAATTTGTACATACATTTGTGGGCGTATTTATAGCATGTTCGATATGGTCATGAGTCGCGCGAAATATTTTTCAATGAACGGAAATTCAAATGAATTCATGAATATGCCACGGTTTGTGATGATGAATACTTTTTGCTCTGCAGTGTACGATGGCCTTATAAAATCTATGCAAAATATTGGATTTTGCATAAATTTAACCCCTTGTTTTATCTTCTGTTTGTTGTGCGAAATAATTTCGCTGTCCAAATAGTCTTTTATTTTGCGCACGACTACACTTTGTAGGTGAAATATCAATATATTTCTTTTAGTACGTTTTTTCATGGATAATGTTTCTTTTCACGTATCAATAGGTTCATCAGAAGCGATTTTGTTTGGTAAAAGAAAAAACTGGACCAATGTCCCATGAACCCAAAAGTTGTTACGGTGTGATTAAAATTGCATTTGGAATGAAAATGTGTAAAAGTGATAAAGAAATAGTTTAATTTTTCAAACTGCCACAATTAGTATTCTGCACCCACAATATTCCGTATTTTGAAATTGAATTCTTTCATACGTACATCGCTTCTTTCAATCGAAAAATTTTCATGTTTCCACATTCAGATAAAACTTTGAATGGCCATACAATTTGTATTTTTTTATTTCCAACTTTTCAAGATAAGCTTGATTCCAAAAGCTCAGTGCACACATTTGCCTTGTAGAACCAAAAAAACACCCAAAGTTGAGTTTTCTTTTTCTCGATACCTTATTACGCGAATAAGCGCGTCTTATTTCGTCCAAGATGTACACTCGTCCAAAATCTGAATAACCCAATCTCACGCCCCGAAAAAGGTAACGCGCATCAAACGCAGTCCAGTGTAAGGCCATACCCAACGAAACCGCGATTCCAAGATACAAACGAGACATACGTACATGATATTCCCGTGCAACGCAAGCCACAACCTCCCAAGGGCGAAACGGGACCATTAATACCTCGGCATGGTATAGTTGGTATACAGGATGCGATGTAAATTTCTCTCGCAGTGGGTATGACTTACGCAGCAGCAGGTGATGGTGCTTGTGCTTGCGCGGCTGAAGTCCCGATTCGTTGACCACCGGTTCTCGGTTGGGCTGTGCCGAGGCGCGCGTTATCGCGCCTCCCAGAATGGCACTGCAAATCAGCAACAACAGCAACAGGATGAGCGACGAGGATCCGACGCTGCTGCTCTTCATCTTCTCTCGCGACCGGACGTATAACTTGTCTTGTATCCCTTCGGAAC